TGTGCGATGTGCTCTGTCAGCATCCTGTCAACAGCGCACAGCCAATTAGGACTGCAGCCAAATGGCTGGGTGAGCTTTCTGTTTCTCAGTCCACTGATTCTGCATCCAGCCAACACACACGCACGCACACACACACATTCCAGTGTACGCCCAAGTAAAATGTGTAAATACGGCTGCTTTTGTTACACACGCTTTTAGAGTAAACAAAAACAGACATCCATCCTGAAAGACAGGAAACCTATGATTAAATCCTGAGGCAGGAGAATCACCCTGACAACAAAGTCTATAGTCTCTTATCCTGTTGCTGATGCCAGTTGGCCATTTGACTACATTTCCATATTGGGCCTGCTCTGAGGCTGCGCCTGCAGGAGGCGGATAAGATGTGTGTGTTTATCTGTTTGGGAAGATGACGCTGAACGTGATATTCTCTCTCTCAAATCATAGCAACTGTCTTGCCACTGGCTAGGGAACCCATCCAGACACAAACACACATCCTCTTATGCACATACACAAAAACATCGCCCCTGTCTCTCTGCTAATGCAACAGTCATCCCTAGGACTACTTTGCATATCAGACCTGACATAATGAGGAGACACTGTATGGTGTCTGGGGACAGTGGGTGTGGAGGTGGAAGGTGATACCACCGTGGTCGGCTAAATAAACCTGACAGATACAGGCCCGCCAGCCTGTTGGAGCTGCTTAGTTTCAAGCTATCAAGTCAAAAAGATTTATAACACCTGAAATCAATTGTCAGGACAGGAAAAACATCTCAAAGTAGGTGCAGGTCTTTTTTTTAAAGTTTTATATGAAGGAAAAGGTTGGAGTTAAAAGAGACAACATTTGTCATCAATAGCAGTGCAACAGCTTGCAGCTACTTCTCAAACCCTTTGCAGTTTCATGTTTTCATAACACAGTCCTTAGCCTGTTTTATTACAAACGCTAATGACTAAAATATGCAGGACCTCAACGTTGCATGGAGACATCAATAGATGTTCCTCTTAGCAAAGCTGCCATCTTACTTCTTGAGTGTGCACAGACAGCCAAGGGGATCCTTCAAAGATACTCTTGCACAACCAATGGCTGAGCCTCAGGGGGTTTACCAACAACACTGTCCACAGAGTAGAAAACATGCTGCAGAGTGCATATCATGCCAAAACTCACACAGGGCACGGATGATGCACTTTTCCCATGTCTCTGTCCCTTGAGGGTACAAAGCACTGAAACTGAGCCTCCTGCACCGTGACAAACTTTTAATATTCGTTGGCTAAAGCAGAAGGTTCTGTCTAAAAACTGTATCTCTCAAGTCCCCTCAGCTCAGCATGTAGTTTGGGTTGTATGGCTTATTCACCCTTTCAGCTGTTGTCAGAGTATGCAGCAATGATGTCGTTATGGATAACAGCTTTAGCTGAGCCTGCCCAATGGGTATAAACTAGCAATTTTCACTGAGGGGGAGAGGAGTGTAGCATAGAATGCAGCCGCCTCAGTCAAATTCAGCAGAGGGTGGTTAAAGATAGACTCTCTCCAAATCCCAAATGACAAGAGGAGATCAGTGATGCGTACACCTGGACAGAAGAAAGTGGTAGACAGGAAATAGGGAACAGAACAGAATGGGTCTCTGGGTCAACTCCATCTCCAAACATCGTGCTGGAAGCCCAGTTATTCTGCATTTAAGACAGAAATGAAGAGATCTACCCTCTTTGTCTGAAGATCCAATCCTTAAGAGGCTTACACAAGCGTTGAGCATTTAAACGCACATTAGCGCGGACACCTCAGCATATCAGAAGACTGTGGTGCACTCTAAGAAGTTGACAGGTAGGTCTTTCTGATGCTCTGACAGATAAAGAGTGGATAGATAGGGAGTGGGTGTTTAAGGTAATGGTAATAAAGGCTGTCACTGCTGATATGCTGAGTTCTTTGGAATGAGACCACAGTAGCCATCTTCGTGGCTGTGAGGGTCTTTGGTCATTGAAAGGACATGTATGAGGACCTCACTGTTCCACGGCTGTAGTGAAGCATGACCCACCAGACCTGACATGCTTGTAGCAGCCCCTTTCTTTGAGGCCATTCATGTCACCCAGCTTCTATCGAATAACAAGCAGTTTCTTGGCTGAGACAAATATCTGCCCTTCTGTTTCAAGAATGATCAAATATGCCAGGTTGATATCTGCCAGGGATCAATTGATTACAAAAAAGATACTGTCAGATGCTGTTTCGTCTTCTTGTCCTTCATCACCTTGCAGAAAGTAGCTTTTTATATCATGTCACAGGTCGGGGATCAGAAGTAAGACGCAGATGCCAAGACCCAGTGGCAATGCATCATCATGCTGTGCCATGGCATCAGTCCACAAGTTAACTCGTGTTAAGTCTAGTAAGCTGCAGTTGGATACCATGATTTTTATGTACTGTGACAGACTCACAGGGGAGCAATAAAACCAGGAAAAGGTCTGATTCATCCACAGGAGCACACAACTCCGGGAACACTAAAAACTGTCCTCAAATATGTTCCTACTGCAAATCCAGTTCAATCGTCAAATACTGGCCATTTCTGAAAAAAGGTTTAATAATTATCAGATAAGATCTATTGGACCTCTAATAAATACTGAATCTGTGTTTCATTAAAGAAAGGAAATCATAAAAAACCCACTGTAAATCGTATATTTTACAAATAACAATGCCTGATAAGACAGACCTTTTGGTAATCTGGAGTTGATTTAGATTGTTTTCTCAAGCATGAGAACCATCTTATTAAAACACTTATTCACTTAGATGCACTATAATTGTTTCATTCATTTTATTAATTATTATATGTTATTGCATTGCTGTATTCAACTTGAATTTTCCATTTTCCATTACAAGCCATTCGTCATCTTGCGGGGAATTTTTTTATTGGTAAGCATTTTATTAGTTGAGGTTGTTTTTCCACTGCTTTGGTCAATGTGAAACCATTTAATCAGAGATCCATCTTTTCAAATGAGTCTAATGGTATTTAAAAAGGTTTTCAAAATGTTACTTATAAAACAGAGCAATCTAAACTTACTTCCAGTGCTTAGTTTGTCTTGCACCCTGGAAACAGGCTAGTTTCCAGGGTGCAGGACAATCTGAGCTTATCTTTAGAGAAGCAGAAACTTGATGAAAGAAGAGTGTAGATAGGATAAGATGAGGAAGCAGCTATACCCTGAGTGCTGATGGTGAATTCTAGGCCATCGTCACTGACACACTTAGAGAGGTGTCACCAGACAGCACTGTCCATCTGAATCAAACTCGCTCTCTGTACGTCCCTCTCTTCTCATAGATCGTGATGATGAGCAGCGTGCCTCATCCCTTTGATGTTAACTTATGGATTTATACATTTAACATTCTCTTACACAATCAGCAGAGGTGCACACCCACGCACAGCCCTGGCCCACAGCACATGCACGCATGCACAGAGAGATCTACACACACAGCCTCACTCTGCATGTCAGCAATGTACACACATGTACATCACACAGAGGGGCAGGGATATAAGTAATTTAGCACAGTGTGACACTTTCACGGTCTAATTAGCCCCAGTGTTGCAGTAAACACGTCCCAATGACCCTCCAGTTCTGGTTACTCATTAAGTATAGATGGGGCTGAAGATGGCTAGTTTCTCTCATCCATCAGGACCTGACTCGTCGCAGTAGCAGCTCCCCAGAAGCCTCTAGAACCTCAGGGTGAGCACCACATTCAACCAGCATCATCGCAAATACAGACAGAGAGAAAACAAACAAGGAACCCCCCCTCCTTTGCTGCTATAAGTCTGCATCTACATGTTATGTCCACTTCTGTTCATATATGTATTCATGTGCACGCTCACAGGAGCATAAGAAGCCAAATCAAGGAAAGCTCTGGAGGGATGCTGCATGGCACGTACAGAGACAGCCCTGTTGCTAGCTCGCTACTGCTGTCGCCTTTGCGGTGATGGGGATTTTCCTCCTCCTCTCTCTCCCTCTCTGTTGCGGTAGCAGACGTGGCCAGCAAGCTGTGATCAAACTGTGCCTTCATCCTCTCTCTCTCGCTCTCATCAGCTGGAAGGCTTCAATAGCAGGGTGCCCCAGATTCATAGACCACCCCCCTCCTCCCATCTAGTGCAGAGGCTCCACTGTGGAGCTCCACTGACACCTTGTGGACAGAAAAGAGGTAGTGCAGCAGGGAAGTGAAGGGAGGGCTTGTTGGGCCATTCATATTGGTGGAGTTTATGATTCACACTTTAATAAACATTGAGGTTTTGACCTAGTGTCAATGTGTTATATTATAGTAAACTATATGTATTTCAAACACCATTTTGGTTCAAGCAAAGCTCTATCTAAAGGAGAAATGTGACTAATTAGTCTTTCAATTGATTCCTTCTGAAAATTCCCAATAGATCAATCAAAGGTCGCAATCTTTCTGCATGAGGCGTCAGCACAGGCCCGAGGGCAGGCGGACAGTTGGGGAGACAAGAAAATGGTACATCAGCTCAGATCCTGGATCGATATTAGAGTGTGGTGTTAATCTAGTGAGTGGCCCTCTGGCAGAAATAAGTGACTCAAGAGTTGAACAGCGCAGCAGACCAAAGAGCCATTATCAAATAGAACAAGCTCAGCATTTTTCTCCCAAATAAGCCACTTTTTTTCGTCACCGAGGAGTGTAGCCAGGGTCCACAAAACCGCTGGGGTGACTTTGGGTTGAGCACTGTCAGGGACTTTTCTGCCTTTGTACACTGGAGTATTATATAAGATTTTATCTGGGCTTTTTTGTGCATGCGAGGCCGAATCCAATAGGCTCTTAAGTCTAAGAGAAGGATATTAGCGTGACTCAAGCTGAGCCGTGCAGGTTGATACTGTAATCACCTAAATGCAGTCTCTTTTCTTGCTGGAAAAGCAGACAGGAAGTCTTAAAAGAACAGTGGAATAACAATTCTACTCAAATGAACTCTTGTGAAATGTTTGTGTGCAGGTAGGACTCTTCAAAAATATATTACAAACAAAATCTTTAATCAGCTGTAGATGCATTGGCACAATGTCAAAGTTTTCTTTTTACCTCTACTGTTGAAAAAGAAACATGATGCATAAAAACAAAGAAGAAATAAAACAACAAAAAGTCTACAGAGTGGATTCCACATTACGTTTTCACAAATATTTTTCTTTGTTTATAGTTTACTGCAAGCACCTCTGTACAATACTGTTCCCAGCTAATACTTTGAATTATGTATTGTATGCTATGCTGAAAGTATAAAGCACAACATAGAGGACACAACGCAACATCCCCATCATTTAACCCAATGTAATTTACATTGGACGGACTGTACGCACAAAAATAAAATCCTTTCACCTTCTTTCAGGGCTGAGGAACATTTATACTTACAACACAAAGGAAGAAAAAAGGGGAATAGGGAAGGAGAAGTGATAACAGAGGAGGGAACCAAGACAAGAGGATAGGGCAGGGAACAGGAAATACTTTTTTAGATGTTTTACAGATGTAACATTTACGCTGCAGTGCTTAATAAATCCTAGATCCTCTCTGTTTTATTCATAGAGGAAACGAACAGACTAGGTAAAGACAAAGAATATGAATAATGGTACCATGATTACAAATCTGATTATGTTCTGGGCCAGAAAAATTCAACCCAAGCCTTTTGAGTTTAACTTTTTTAGTCCTCCATATCGTGCTCAGTTTTACTTTCCTCTAGTGGATTTCATGAACGTAAAGGATCTGGAAAGTTAAAAGGCCCAAAGTCTGCAGTACCACCACAGAAAACAGTGCTCCTGATAATTCTTTAACACCCTGTCAGTGGCCCGGCCGATACTTCTGAAGAATTTGCATAATACGCAGCGAGCTGTTGGTCTGGCACGCCCCCTTACGAAACAAGGTAAAGTAAGAGCAGAGGTCCACATGCTCTATTAGTGGTGGACCAGTTACAACAGAGTGGACCAGCGGGCCAATCGGAGCACACTGGGAGGGTTCCTTACAGAGACGTGTGCTAAAACCAAGTGCTTCAGACAGAGGCTGATAAGAGGAGCTGCAGAAATTATGAGGGAGGCGATTTGTTTTCTGACCATTTGAGCATGTCAAGTAATAACACAAATTAAAATTATGAACATGAATATGAGAAAATTCTGTCACATTTCCCATCAATGTAGCCATTGTCCTTTGATAGGAGCCACAATAGCCGCATTTTCCAGTATGAAAAAGTGTCTTTGAAATGTTATTTTCTAGGCACCATTAGACACATGGAAAGAAAATAGTCAATAGAGTAAACATAAAATACTGTCGTCTCTATATACAGGGAACTTCCCATTTCTGCATGTTCAGGCTTCTTTTCAAACTGTCAGGTTTTACTTAGTTCATCGGCTGACCTTGATTTGAAATTTTAAAAAATGTGGTGCTGTTAAAATTACACTGAATCCTCAACACATCAAGAGATCATTTAGTACAGAGGCTCCCCAAGTGGGTTTCAACAAACCCCAGAGGGTGTTCTTGAAGAATAGTTTCATCTCATTATGTTCACAATATAATCATCTACTCAAAACTGATTAATCCGTAAATCCATCTCCATACGGACACATTTTCTTTCCTTTACTAAATCAAACATTTTCTCACACTGTCGTCCCTGGGGATCTTAATACAGATTTATTAGGCTCTGTGGCGCATGAAATTCAAGTCTAACAGCATCCACACTTGGATCAGGGTCCCTCACTCACTCAGTCATTGACCCGCTTCAGTCCCCCTGGTGCTAACACACTACAGAGTAAGGCTTCACTGCATTGATAGTTCAGGACTTCTTCTTTTTTCTCTTTAAATCAACCGAGGCATCGTCTCGTCTCAGAAAGGCACGCGACTGAGCTTCACAGTTCGCTACTGCTCCGGTTTCTCCTCCCTTCAGTATTTTTTTAATTTATTTTTTTAGCAGCACTTTGCATTGATCTCCGATCAAGAGAGAATGACACTTTGTGGCCTTGTCGATAATATCAACATACATATACATATTTACAGAGAAGACCACTTTCTGAAAAGGGTCAGTCGATATTGGTTTGTTTCTTTTTTTCTTGAATGGGTCTGTGTGAACTTTTCAGGCTTTGAGTTAAAACTGTTTCGGGATGTATGTGTGCACTGTACATATGGCAAGCATGTAGAAAGGTACAACATGGAGACTTGGCAGAGATGATGGTCTTTGTACTGTATGTGTGTCACTGTGGTTTTATGAGTGCTTGATAGTGTATTTGCCTTTCTGCAGCTGGGAGATGTACAGCTTTGACTTGGTGCCGTCTAGTCGTTTGAACCACACCTCGTCATTGTTGATTGTGGTGATGATGGCGCTGCGTGACACAGAGAACAGCACAACGTTAGGGCGACAAACCAAACCACAACCCCTAACTGTTTGCATGAGACTGTCTTTGTAAGCAGAAGTTGATGGCCGGTTCTCACAGCGTTTCAACACCTTTTTTTTTTTTTTAAGCAGACTGTTGCTGCAGTGACCTAACGAAGCATATGGATTTCAAAATGAAACAGAACAAAATCTACAGGATGTTATATTTTTACCAGTCTGGATCCAGGAATTTCTTTTCTAATTTTCATCAACATTATGAGAAAGGGCAGTTTAGATATTTTCCATTCATTTCTCAGAGGATTCATGGATCCTGATGAAAAAACAAAATCAGACGTGTAGGGGACTGACATTTATGAAAACTAAGACGAAGTAGAAAACGACATAAAGTGTTTTAGTGAGGTGAGCCTGCAGAACAGCTTTAGTGCACTGTACAGTTAGATTCCTTCTATTCAAGTTGTCCGTTTGTCTGTTCTCTATTTAACATCAACTAACTGGTACATTTATATGAACCATTGAGCTCATATTAATTAATGTATGCTAAGAGTTCAAGTTATAATCTCCCATAGGAGTTCAGAAAGGTTCATTAAGGTTATTAATGTACTTGTCACCAATCAGTATGTTTCAGGAATACAGTATATGTTTATGTGTCGGGTTTTTGAGTTTTACTCTCAGACCTCTGACACATAACAGCCTCCTGTTGCATTTGTTCTGCCACTCAGTGGTATGGAGGGATGTCGGAGTTGTGCTGTGAAAAATGTGACGTCAATGCTTTCCCATCTATTCACTGTACATCCTGTCTTGACTACGCACAGGACAGGATGCACAGAGCAGCGGGGGGAATCACAATCCTTCCTGTGAACGCTCACATGACGTTTGGTTAAATCATCCATGATCATCTCCATTGCTAAACAAACGCACCATGTGGCCACAACTGCTCCGCAGGCCTTTGAAAACAACTGTATATATTGATTTAAATGAATATCTGTCCCTCCGTTTATAAAAGAAACCTGCTACTTAAAATGCTGTTTGTGTGGACGAGAGGCTGAAATGCAGAGGAAATAGTTTGTTTTGCAGAATAACTGCATTAGTGTTTTTGCAGATGATACTCTACTTTATAACTTTCTCATGCTGTAACAAAAATCCTCACTCCCTCTCAGTTTTACAAAGAGCAATCTATTCCTAAATAAACCCTCCTCACACACACACACCTTGTCGGGTACTCGTCCTTCCTGTTGATACAGATGGCCTGTCCCCTGCAGTACCACTGGTTGTCATAGAAAAGTCGACCGTCCTCCGAGCGCGCTACATGGTGATGCCTGTCAGGCTTGACTGCAGGAACTTAAGGAGGAAAAAGAGACAGATAAAATTTGATGAGGATGAGACAAGGCAGGGAAGAAGCGACTAAGGTTAAGGTTAAAAGAAACACAGGACAAGGAGAGGGACAAAGGCAAAATTCGTCTCCTCATCGATCGCTGCACTCAGCCACATATTGACTGTAACCAAGGAAGAAGAGAAACTCTTACCATCCACCTTCACCCTGTGTGGCCCCAGTGATGCCATCGCCTGCGGGTGGAGGACACTAACTCTTAACATCAACACAGATGCATTAACCAGCTGACTAATGTGTCCATTTTCATAACAGTACCTTTCTTATTGCAGTCCAGTCTTCAAGAATATCCAGATCTTGCAGCATGTAAACAATATAAGGTCGTAAAGGAGAGGTTAAGGGAAACTCGGAGGAGTGGGAGAAAACATCTGTCTCTAACAAGCGTGAGAGTGAACTGCTGCAGTAAAATGTAAGAGGAATAAGACAAGGACAGGACAAATGGGAAAAGGATATCAGAGACTACAACAGGCTTCTTCTTCTTGACAGGGCAGAACGGGTCTTTCTTCTTGTTTTTCCGTGAGTGCAATCCATCGTTCCACAACTCTGGAAAACAAAGGGAGCAGATTATGTCTCTGTGTCACTTCCTCTCTCTGGTTATTTGCTGCAATATTTTTTTTTATCAGTTTTATTGATATTAAGTGCAAACTTCACTTGTTGTCATTTAACAAATTCACAATGTTTATTCACTGACTCCTCATCATTACTTCTGTTTAATTATCTCCCCTGCGGGGGTTGTGTTTTCACCCCTGGCAGTTTGCTTATCAGCAGGATTTCCATGAAACTTGATGGAAGGATGAGAAATGGGCCAAGAAAAACACAATTAACTTTTGGGTTGGATCTAGTTCTTTATAACTTCCTTTAACACGTGATAAGAAATTACTAATTAATGGATCTTGATTTTTTTTAAACTTATAAATCAAGCACATTCAGGATTTTATAAAAATAAAAATCCAGCGTTATCGGATTTAATTGTGGTTTCAAAGGGTAAAAGGCTTAAACTAAATTTGCAATGGAGATAATGGTTTCATGATCTGACATGTTTTTTGATTGAATTTATGAGGTTGCCAAAACATGCCTAAATCTATCAGAAAGTGAGCTCACTTTCTGATAGATTTTGGCGTGTTAGTGACTTATATGGATCAAAACAACATTGGCTTGTGTTGGCTGGTACCTGAGGTAATATCAATACTGTGTCTGTCCTCTTCCAATCTTCTTATCTTTTCCTCCAGTTCACTTTGCACAGTGTCAAACAGCAGCAACTTCTCACTCTGGAAGACAGAAAGAAAGTCAGCAAAGACAGAGAGGTCATCGCATCACTCCAGAAGCAGGACCGGGGTTGAATCTAATCCAAGCAGTGCAGGGGCCTGTACTAACAATCCACTCCCAGCTCCACAGGATCCTCTACAAACACTCAGGTCATGTTACAATGGAATTGATATGTCAATGGGTGGATATTTTATACTGGTTGATCTTTTATCTCCAACTTAACCTGCTCTGGAGCAGGTTACCATGGTGATTTACCCCAATAAGAAGTGAACGAGCTTCGACTGAAAACCCGAGGGAAACCTGAAACCTTACCCTGATAACTGCAATAGTACAGACCCCAGATGAGGCAAAAACCCAAACATCCCAGACTACAATGGATTTCCTGCTTTGTTCAGGTAATCGTCTGTTGAATAAAATCTATTTTAAAAGCCGTGCCTCACTGGCTCTAATGTTGGCCTCTCACCTCCCAGTGTTGGCAGGCTGCCTGGATCTCACACTCGTACTTATTCTTCACCGAATCCAAACACAGCTCCCTGTAGATCCCTGCAACACACAATGAGAGGAAATCCATCCGGGGCAACCGACAAGAAAAACGACAATTTGGTTTGATTCAAGCAACTATAGTCTTTAATTTGCACAAAGACGAACGTAATTAAATATTTAAATCAAACACTGACATTTAATTAGGTGGTAAATCAGGTTTTGCTTCCTAGGTCCAGACATTTTCCAGAAATCTCTACAGAGGAGCTGTATGTGAGCAGGCAAATGTGCAGTCGGTTTCTCCAGATATTTTTGTTAACTTTTCCTGCCAGAGTAAAGTTAGCTCATGTGAGAATTTCCGGAGAATTTGCAGCAAGCGAGGGGACGTGTTGATGACATTTCAAACATTTGGCAGACATGAAACAGGAAGAATACAAATATCTCAGCATTAAAAAAAGGTGTCATTCACATAGAAGACAGATGAAGACATCCACTTGCAAAGGCAATGAGATTGGAGAGCTTTTGGTGATTGGGTCTACGCCAGCGTTGATGTGCAGTAAACAAATACATGTGTTTTCCATAGGGGGACTTTATACGTCATGTCTTGCCTCTTGCATGCTCCATTCATTGCCTGTATGTTCTGGACATTTTCCTGTTGTTGTGAACGTGTCTGACCCGGACAATGTCCTCCTGCGTTCTTCAACGTCTGGACCTAATTTTCCAGACATTTTCTTAAGTTCATGTCTGAGAAGGGGTTTGGACTCACCAGCCACTTTAGTCCTGATCTGCATGTTCTCCTGCAGGTTGGCTAAAGGCTCCAGGTACTCTTGGGCACAGCCAGCCATTACCTCCTGTAGCTTGATGTCCACCTGGCTCAGGCGCTCCTTGTACAACCTAAGCAGCAAAATAAATTATAATAATAACACAACTGCAACACACACAGCGATCCAGGAGCTTGAACTTGATTGTTATCATTGTGACATTACTGTGAGTCCAGCAGGAGTGTGGAGCTAGCAGTTTGTCCAAGCTTGGAGAAATGACATTACTCCGTTTTAACTGGTTTGAGCAGAGAAGCCAAATCATGTCCTCGCTTCCAGAGGTGAGAAGTAACCAAGTAAAAAAACCTTTTTCCAAGTATCTGCATTTTACTGGAGTATTTATTTTTACTTTTATCCCCAACAGTTTAACAAATATCTGTACTTTCAAATCCTCACATTTACAAATCAGGCTCATTACTTTTGAATAAGTGGATTTAAGGTGGAATGTTTTTCATTTTTATTTTGCATCATTGTGTCCTCTTCCCAAAATCAAGACAGATTTCAACATAAATGAACAATAACAGAGAAATGTTTGACTGTTGTGTATCTATCAAGCACAACATACATTAGAGTGTAAAAGAGGAATCATGCCACATATGTCCATGACAAAGAGTAACAACACAGAAGAAAGTAAAGAATATATATATATATATATATATAATATAATATAACATCATTGATGATGGTGACAACGATGAAGTAGAAGCCGAGCAAGAACACATTATTTAGCTGAAAAATATCCATTTCAAAATAAAGTACACATTTCTTCCTGGAAAATGTTTCACGCTCACAAATCTTTTTTTGCTTTAAACCTTTGTTTTTAGAAGATTGAGTCTCAGTTTTGCTTTGCTTTATACATACATACTTAAGTACATTTCAGAGCCTGTACTTTTATACTTTACCTTGAGAAAAGAGGGTTGAATCAATACTTTTTAAGACAAGTATCTGTACTTATACTTCAGTAAAGATTGAGATTACCTCACTTCTGAGGAACGGGACACTGTGACATCAAGTGTTCTCAAGTAACAGGCAAGTTTGACATTTTAAAAGCAAAACTCTATTTCAGATATCACTTCCAAGTTACAGAAATATTTGATTTTGTAGTCATCGTAATGATGATGAGGATTGATGTGAAGAATACTTGTGGGAGAGGACCTAAAGTGGTCAGATGTACAGTGGCAGAGGGAACACAACACACTGCAAATTAAGAAAACGTCATCAATTTGAGAACTCGTGCCGCAAAAAGGCACAACACGAGCAGATACGGAATCTGGAACGGAAGTGTTTCCAGGGGACCCAAAAAAAGTGATGAACCTGGCTGAAGTTCAATGCTTTGAGAAGTTCCATCACCAGTGACGACAAGCAGTCTTCAATAACTTCACAAAGCATTGAACTACAGCCAGGTTCATCACTTTGTTGGGTCCCCTGGAAACATTTCCACCTGTTTAGTCTATCTGCAAGCGCGTGGATCTCTCTCTGCCACCGTACACAGATGGTCGTCTCAGAGTCTGGTCCAAACCACAGCAGGAGTCATGTTTGGGTATGTTGTTAGTTTGGGGCAGCTTCAGGTGTTAATGGAAACATCATGAGGGGGAATGTCTGTGGAGGAACTTACTGCTCCTTCAGGTCAGTGAACTGCTTCTCCAGCGTGGTCATCTCATCCAGACACTCCATCCTCCTCCTCTCACAGTCCTCATCATCCATCTCTGTTTACAGGAGGACATGACAGCTCCCCGTCAACAACACTGAACCCCCTGCACCTCCCTGGTCAACATGTCAGCTCATTTTCAACAGCACACCCAGTGAGACATCTGAACTGTGTGTTGGTGTTTACTGAGGCCTGTTGTTATTGTTTTCCTACCGGAGCTGTCTCCATCTTCAGACACGGAGGAGCTCACTGTGTCCTCCTCGTCCGTGCTGCTGCCGTCCTGCTCCGGGTAGTCCACCTCCATCTCCTCGTGGTTACTTTCTTTCTTCTCCCGGGAGTGAACCGGCATGGCGGCGGACAGAAGAGCCGGTGTTAGTTGTGTTAGCCCACGGTGAAAAGCAGAAATATGGCCCAGACAGCTAACCGGTTAGCTAGCCTGCATCTACACCAGCTGGAAGTGCAAACATGGCCACCGCCGACCAATGACAGGAGGCCTTACTCAGTCTGACCAATCAGATGTTGGTACGGGTCCCTGCAGGGTTTTAGGGATTTGTAGTTTGTTAAACTTTTCACGAGAGCGGATAGCTACTGTATGAGCAGGTATTTATATAATTATAATAATGTACTTTTATTTCACTCTAAATAAAACCAAAAAAAAAGAAATTGTTATTGTCAATAATAATAAACCCACTGAAATTAATTTGAATAATTGAAATAAACCCACAGAAAAAAATGAAAAAGTTTTTTATTACATTTTTAATACATTTCATTTTAAGTCAATATATCAAATAATGTATTATTATGATTATTATAAATAATGTATTAAATAATAATAACAAAACCCACTGAAATACAGTTAAAAGATCCCCCCCCCCCTCTCAATAAATAAAGAAATACATGTCATTGTAAGTTATAACAAAGTGAAAAGTGAATTGTGATTGTGATTAAATAATATCGACCTAATTGTAAAAATGATCATCAATGTTTTATTTTTTTATCATTAAGTAGGCCAAGGTGGTTCTGTTGTCATCTGTGTTTGTTTGTTTATGGGTTAGCAGGATTATGCAAAAACTACTCAACTGATTTCCATTCAGTTTTGTTGCAAATCTGGATCAGGGAGCGGATCAAATCCATTTTCTGAGATTGGGCATTTCTCAACACTTTCATTAATTCCTCAGGGAATCATTTATGGATTTTGATAATAAAATCAAATATGTTTCGGGGAATTATGCAGTCCACAGCCAGTCTAGTTATGTTCCATGTTTTTTCCCCCTCTTGGTTGTTTGCTATAATCTAATATTGACAGCCATTGTTTGTGAGAAACTGTCATTCCTGTGGGACTCAAACATTTTCATTGCATGTTGTCAGTGTCACCATCATCAGTCTCAGTGAGGGTACTTGGAGGCAGACAGGAGGCCCTCTGAGAGAGTCTACCACGCACAGCTGCAGGGGATCTGGTACAGAGGTGCTGGAGGGCCTCTGATACCTGACTGGAAGATCATTCAAGCACCCTGGGGGGCCAGAGCTGTGACAGCTCGCTGCTCATCTCTCACTCACCTGGGTGACAGTGATGGACAGACTGAGCAGTGGGTGGAGGTGAGAGCTGTGGTGTTGACTTTGAAAAACAAAACGTGATATGGTGCAAAATCATTGTGTTGTGGTTGGCAGCAGTGTACATGCTCTAGTTTATTATATCCCACACTGACAAGGAGAGGGACCTTCTATCCTAGGATCTGCAATTCAGGCTTTGACCTCAGGATGGCGATAAAGACATTTAACGGGAGGGCAAAGAGTAGCTCCCCATGTCTGAAAAAGTAAAAAATTCCTGAAGAGTATGAACTGTGCTGCTATTGAAGAGTAGAAAATTCATTTTAATGAAACAATAACTGCCACAAACATTTTATGGAAGAGTAATGGATGCTTACATTTGGTGCTTAAGGTTAGCAAGAGGTAAAATACTGTTGATTTAGAAGTGAGGGGAAAAGGAGGGGGTGATGTCAAATAAACTAATAATACTGAAAATACATCATCTTATTGGTGAGACTCAAACGTAATTTAAAAAAGTAATTATTAAATAAAATAGAGATTTTAGTAATCAAAGGAACATGATTTAAAAAAGGATAAGAACATAAATAATGAGCATGAATTTAAAAATTAATATATTGCACTATTTGAGTTACATATCTGTAAAAGATAAGATGAGCATAAAGCATTAACTCGTTTTTTTATTCTTATTTGTGACACGTAAGTTGACAGAACAGAGGGACCCTCCAACCTTACAAAAATGCAAAACTATACATGAGGATATTAAACTGAGAGATTGTGCTCAGTTGATTTGTGGTTTGTCTTGTACGCTCACTGTTTCCGTGGTGTGTAGCACGCTGCTGTAAGTATGTCAGGAAACTTTGCCAGTCTAATTTCAGTTCAGGGTGCAGTACGTTGAGCTACAGCAGAAAATCTGAGCTGCTTTTTTTTTTTTATTTCATAATACTGAACTTTTTCTCTTTGTCTCAAACGGTCCAGAGCGGAGACAGGCTGACACAATGGACAATCAATAAAGCTGCACACACAAGAATGATGGAGAGACTGAGGAATGAGAAGAAATCCAAACAGAGAACCACAGTTTATGGTTATGGCTGCACATTCTCTCATTACTTGTAGCTGAAGTCTCTGCAGCCTGGATACACTTCTTTATGCATTATCATTTGCCTTGCTTTAACTGCATGAACACTCGCAAGCCAGTCAGTGCTGTGACATGTAATCAATGTAAATCTATGACCTCAAACCACACTTGCTTACACAAGCTGAGTCTCCAACGTTTTCCCCTCTGATAAGATTTCAGGCCTGTGCTTTCAGGCTCATCTTGTTAGTACGTTTGAAAGTTCTAAGAATTGAGATGATCTATCATTCCCTATGAAACCTGATGGACAGATTACTGACTAAACTTTACAATAACACTTGAAGATACAGGTTAAGGCTTGTCGTCCACATATATAAATAAATATCAATCAACAACTTGAAGTGTGTCTCTATAATACTTTTATCTTTCTTCATTTGAAGTTCAGAAAATCACTCCTACATCTTCTGCTTGTTCAATATGCAGCAGCAGGTATTTGAATTTGAGCCAAGCATAGCGTTTTGTAAATCCCCATCATTAGCATTCTGCTTACCACTCTAAAATCACACTGAAACTTTCATGATCGTGTTTAAACTGATTTCACTTTTGCACCACAGAGCCCTTGATTTCACATGCAGGTATGCACAGCCTGACATCTCCCAGCTTTTAAGGCTCATCAATACATAATCGTCTTTAAAGTGATGTCCTCAGTTGCTCATAAGTGCTTTAAGGTTACCTTGAAAGGAAATTCCAGATTGAGGAATGCTCTTGTTTGCCTTCTTAGTGCAGGTTAAGTGGGAAGACTGATTCCACTCCCATGTCTGTACAGTAAATGTAAAGCTATAGAGCCAATGGATCTAATAATTAGCTTGAAATTTAAGACTAGAAACATTTGAACAGCAAAGGAGATTCAGGAGATTCTTTGCTCAGATGCGTTCACAACAACAAAATCTCTGCAGTGTTCAGGTGTGTGTGTGTGTGTGTGTGTGTGTGCAACATCGGCTCATCTGGACATTCTTTTTACTAGGGGACTGGCAGGGCAAACTCTGACAGGCGCATGTCTGAAAGCAGCTTAAGTGTGTGTGAATGGCATGAGTGGTCATTAAGATGAAAAAAACCCACGATATAAATACAGACCATTTATCATTTATGCTGAACTGAGCTCAGCTGCTGGCTCAAGACAAGAGTGGATTTCATCTCCTAAACTAAATTTCACATAAATCTAATATCAAAAATCTAATAAAACTTGCAAATATCTGCATAGACACCACTGAACCTTTAATGTGTTATTATGCTGCTATAAGAACAATTCTGAACCTGATAGGGGCATTAAGGTCTTGGGAGATGGCTGCTAGCAGTAGGGCAGTAGGACAGAAGATCATATTAATTCCTTTGTATGTGTTTGTCTGTGTCTATGAGTGTGTGTGTGTGTGTGTGTGT